AAGAACCCAATTAAAAAATGGGCAGAAGAACTAAATAGACACCTCCCCAAATAAGACATACAAATGGCTAAGAGACATATGAAGAAATGCTCAACATCACTAATCATCAGAGAGATGCAAATTAAAACAACAATGAGGTTGTCAGAATGGCCGCCATCAACCAATCATCAAAAATCAAGTGTTGGCGAGGGTGTGGAGAAAAGGGGACTCTAGTACACTGCTGGTGGGAATGCAGACTGGTGCAGCCACTATGGAAAACAATATGGTGTTACCTCAAAAAATTAAAAGTTGAACTTCCATTTGACCCAGTGATCCCACTTCTAGGAATATACCCTAAGAAGCCTGAAACACCAATCGGAAAGAATATATGTACCCCCATGTTTGTAGCAGCACTATTTACAATAGCTAAGATCTGGAAACAGCCCAAATGTCCATCAGTAGACGAAGGGATAAAAAAGCAATGGTACATATACACAATGGAGTACTATGCAGCTGTAAGAAAGAAAGCTCTCTTATCCTTTGAGACGACATGGAGGGACCTGAAAAGTATTATCCTAAGTGAAACAAGCCAAACAGAGAAAGAAAAGTATCATATGATCTTACTTATTTGTGCAATATCATGAACATAACAATCTGAGGAATGGGGTAGTCCCAGAGAAGTAGAAGTGGGGTACAGACTGACAATCCCCAGAAGAGGGGGAGGTGGGGGAAAGATAAACCACAGAACTTATATGCATGTATGTATGAACAGTGGACATGGACTACAAACCAGGGACAGGGCAGGGAGGGAGAGGGAGGGGGGAATCAGTGGGGGAAAAACGAGAAACATCTGTAACAGAAATTAATTAATAAAAAATAATTTAATTAAAAAAAAAAGAAACCATTCAGATTGGATTGGTGTCTACAATAATGGCTGTATTTTCACTTAACTGCCTCTTTAAAAAGCTCTATCTCCAAATAATCACATTCAGAGGTACTAGAAGTTAGGGCTTTAACATATGGATTTTGAGGAGAACAATTCAGCCCATAACAGTTGGTTCTAAGGCAAAGGGGGTAGAGAGAGCGCTCTGATTTGCAGCACAGTGCAGGTATTCCCACCATGTCCTACTTCAAGGCACCAATAATTTAACAACCAGTTCACAATTTTCTGAACATTTAATAATCAATCTTACAAGTTGTAAGAGCTGGCTCCAGCTTATGGCTGATTTGGATTCCAGCCAAACGCTTCTTCCCTGTTTCAGGGAGTTTCCTTGTATTCTGTAACCACCATGAAATTTTGTACGATCTTCTATTATTTCTTTTTTCCAGTTGAGGGACACCTCTAGCTTAAAGTTCTTTTACAGTGCTGAAATGATTGACATTACCTAGAGCTCAGTAATTTCCCCAGCCCTTCCAATGTTATAAACTCACTCACCTCTTCAGGATGGCCACCCATTCTCTCTACCCTTGAAAAATTGGCTATCAGGAAGCATTTCTTTCATTATTTTTTATTTATGTTAATATTTTTAATTTACAATTACAGTTGATATACAATATTATATTACTTTTAGGTGAACAACATCGTGATTAGATATTTATATAACTTACAACGTGATCCCCCTAATAAATCTAGTTTCCTTTTTTTTTTTTTTTTTAGCATCTTAAATTCAGTGATACTTATTTAAGCTAATAGAGACATGTATACAAATAATTTCATTTAGGGCCAAAGAAGAGAAAATTTGTTAAAATTCTGTTTTTCAACTGATCCTGGGAGAGCAGTGGGAAGAAGAAAGTGAGTCGAGCTTGTGAGAACTAAACAAGAAAAAGTTTCAGCATTATCCCAGCATTAAAAAAATAATAGTCTTTACCTTTTACCCATGTCCAAAACTTCATGACTTCTCATCATTCTAGGTGAAAAGAATCTAATATTTTTAAATGGAAGGTCTTTTTGATCAGGTAGCACTCCTACCAAATACTGCATCGAGAAGAATAAATATCCTCAATTGTCTAATTTCTTATTCTATTCTGACAACTTGGGAAGAGTAACAGAAAGTATCATTTGATTAAAAAGTTCCAAATTTGCTTCATTGAAAAAAGTCTTTAATGTATTTTATGAGATGCTTTCAGCTTCGGGGGTTTGTTTAATCTTTATAACTTTATAGATTCAGCTAAGATTTTTGGCCTTCAAATAAAATAATTATGATAACCTCATTCTAAATTTGTGTCTACATATCTCAGATAATGGATCTATTAGACTTTTCACTATGATCAGGAAATTAATTAGATAATTTGCAAATTTCTATTAGTGCAATAGCCAGCCTCCAACGATCTTCTCCTCCAACTGTTTATGCCTCCAGTGTAGTCCTTTCCTACGCTAAGTAGGACTGACCTGTGTAACCAGTAAAACATTGTGTAGGAATGTCATAGAAGACATTGAAGTTCTGCGTTACTTTCTCTTGCTCACTGTCATGAGAGTACTCAAACAGCCTTTAGAGAGGTCTACATGGGAGGAACAGTGTTCTCCTACCGACCCTAGGCATCAACTGTCAGCATGTAAGTGAGTCCTCTTGGAAGTGGATCCTCCAGCCCCGGTCAAACCTTCAGATGACTGCTGCCCCAGCTGACATCTTGCCTGCAACCTCATGAGAGATCCCAAGCCAGCTAAGCCGCCTCTGTATTCCTGACTCACAGAAACTGTGTGAAATAATACATGCTTCCTTTTCTTTTAAACTGCTAACTTTTGGGGTGAGTTGTTATGTAGCAGTAGACAACTAATACACTCAGGTAAACATTTAAAACTTAGTATTCAGAGAGCCAGAGTTTATAAATGTCTCGGGCTTCATAAATGCAAAAAAAAAAAAAAAAGCTCCACTTTAATCCCTGTGATAGACATCTATTAGGTTTTAATGACTCATTGGCCTTTGAACTTCCTATGTTTGTGAAGTCTCTACCCTGAGTCTCAGTGACAGGCAGAGCATTTCCTTCCACTCTAGACCCAGAAAATGCAAGTTCCTCTGGAAGCTGTTGCACAAGTGCCCAAGGCTTATGTCAGGTGCACTAGCTCATAGTAATGGTAGAATTATAAGCTCTGGTGACTACTATGGTCCACAAACTCTAGTGGTAGTGCCTTTCTTCATTGAACTGATTTGTTCCTGCTCATTTCCCAATATTGGTTTTCTAGCCACAAAGATTCTGTGAGCTACCCAATATTCTGTAATAAGTCTCTTTTGTGCTTAAATCGCCATCAACTGTATGCATATTGCATCATGGTAGGTGTACAGGAAATTACAAAAGTATCAGCTACATCAAAAGGTTGCTGTCAGTAGGAACTACCTGAGAGAGAAAGGATTACCTTATTCTGGACCATTGAATCTGTCTTTAAAGGCATGGGTTAATTGGAAGGGAGAAACTGAGTCATGATAGGGGAAGAAAAAGCTAGCAGAGCACAAAGTCTTTAAGATAAACCATTATAGATATGCATCAATGCACCAGGAATTTGGGATTCTCAAACACTGGTGATGTATAAATGAAATGTTTTCAACTGAGTTTTTCTTCTTCAGTAGTCTTATAATTACATGTTTATTAATTTAGTGAAAATGGTTTCAAACGATTCATAAACTTCAAGAAAGAGAAAGCATTAAGAAATGAAAAACAAAATTAATTTTAAAGCCATACAAGTTAAAGCAAAGACACATAGAAATTGTAATTTAATTTATGCACAACCTAGCATGCTTGGAATCAAAACTGGCTATAAAAGTATGAGACAGTCATAAATATCAGATTTTTATACTGTTTTTCCGTATAATTAAAAAGGCGTATCCATGACAGACTTGGATTTAATGCTTCATCTTTCTCCTCATATGCCTTTGATTAATTCTTGAGTTACAAATTCTCATAAATTCTGGTATTTTCAGGCTGGTAGTCAAATCTGTAGGGAGGCTAGAGGAATTACCTATATGAAGAATAAATTAAAATGCAGAATCACATCTTCCTACAGGTCAAAATCAGCCAGGTCCACCCCAGCCTTACTGAATTCTTATAACCTTTCAGCTCTAAACTCTGCCCCTGTGCATGGGAAAATCCTACAACTTTCACTCTACTTTTTTGCAACAAAGTCTATTAAATTGTCTTACTTTTCATTTTTACCTTTTAGGAATTCTTATTTTCAATGATGAACTACATGAATATGTTGTTGGTACAAAATCCAAATATTACAGATCAAGCTAAAGCCTCTCTTTACTACTATCTACAATCCAAGTCTGCATCACAGCACCCATATGTTCATAGCAGCATTATTTATAAGAGCCAAGACTTGGAAGCAACCCAAGTGCTCATCAATAGATGAGTGGATAAAAACTGTAGTACATTTACACAAAGGAATACTTACCTGGCCATAGAAAAGAAAGAAAGCTTACCCTTTGAGACAGCATGGACTGACCTGGAGAATATTATGCTAAGTAAAATAAGCCAGTTAGAGTAAGACAAATACCATATGATTTCACTTATATGTGTGGAATCTAAGGAACAGAGTAAATGAACAAACAAAATAGAAAGACTCGTAGATACAGAGAACAGATTGATAGTTGTCAGAGGAGAGGGGAGTCAGGGGTTGGGTAAAAAGGTTGAATAGATTAAGCGAGGGGGGCACAAACAAACCACAACTAACTCACAGACAACAGTATGGTGATTATTAGAGGGATAGGGAGATGAGAGAAGGTAGAAGAGGGTAAAGTGGGAATAAAATGTGATGGAAGGAAACCTGACTTGGGGTGGTGAACACACAGTACAATATACAGAGGATATATCCTAGAATTATACACCTGAAATCTACAGAACTTTGTTAACAAATGTCACCCCAATAAATTCAATAAATATATACATAAATGAAAAGGTAAAGTGGAACTTTCTTAATCTTTTACCCATAAGTAAGAAATACAGTGAGAAATTCAGCACTTCTTAGTCTCCTTAAAAAGTAGTCATCAAGGAAAAGAATACTATTGACTATGAGGAGTTAAGTGAAGATTTGGAGTGATTGCATGAACAGAGATGGCCTCGCCCTCAGGCTTGATGACAGCCCGAAGATGGATGGCTGCACAGCCCTCCGGGGTGTGCGTGTGCACTGCCAGTGCGCCAGCTGGTTTCCTCTGGCCAGAGTCCTTGCCCCAGAACAGCTGCAATCTGCAAGTCTCAAGTCTGTTTTACCATCTTGCAGAGGTAAGAGTTGGATAGTTTATGCACTATGACTTCACAGTCCTCTGGGGATGTGGCCAAGGAAAGCATGTTTTGGATAGAAATCTGAAAAAAAGTAAAAATTAAAAAATGTTAAATACCTGAGCAAGTTTGGCATAAGGATAAAGTTTCACATCCAGCTCCTCCCAAGGCTCTGCCACTTAATCAGCCTCTAGGATGCAGGGGCTGCCACGGGTTACCATGGATAAGAGATTAGGCTTCCTTGGGCTGCATCAGCAAACACCCTCCTTTGATAGGCAGTTGGAAAGTAATGGGATTGGGGTTTTAGTTGTAAGGGAATGGTGGAAAATGTGACAAACAGCTGACCTCTTTAGCCCCCACTGACATGGCTGCCTTCCTCTGCACATTTTATGTTGCTTTGGGGAAAATGACAAAAGACAGATGCTTCTTGCTGGAATGCTAGTTGTTTAATCATTCTTTCTAGTCCCAAGACATTTACTGTAGTTTCTTGGAGCTGACATTTGGGGCCACTCCTTGGTTTTCAACGTCTTGTAAATGATGTTATGTTGTGATTTTCCATTACACAGAATATGGGAAGTCTGTGGGAGAGTTTTTAAAAGGTGTTATGTCGCAAATGGTATCCTCGGGCCAAAAGCCTTAAATTGGGAGTGCATAATTGTAAATAAACTATAAGCTCTTGTAGTCAGACGCAAAATACATAACCTGGTCTGGCTCCCATCTGCCACAGAGTATCACTCAAATCTACAAAAATGCATTCTAAGCATCACCAGCAACATACAAAGTTAGTCCTTCCAGTACCGTGCCCTCTCCATGCAGCACCCACCCAGGGGAGACCTGCTTCCTTTTCGGGTTTCATGGCCCCCATGCAACCCCAGGAAGTGGCATAGTAGGTAAGATGCCCTTAAGAAACATAGCAAAACTCTTGGGCTAACCACAAACCACCCTGCTCAATAGGTGTCTTGCTCTCTGTTTCCATAAAGATAACATAACAGAGAAACTGAAAAGATGTGATGTATTGCCCAGCCGGTATGGCTCAGTGGTTGAGCATCGACCCCTGCACCAAGAGGTCACCAGTTCAATCTAGGGCACATGCCCAAGTTGTGGGCCCAATCCCCAGTGGGGGGCATGCAGGAAGTGGCCAATCAATGTTCTCTCTCATTGATGATTCTATTTTTCTCTCCCTTTTTTTCTCTCTAAAATCAATATAAAAAAATTAAAAAAAAAAAGATGTGATGTACTCAAGCATTTTCATCATGTTAAGAAGCAAGAAAATGTGATTCATCTCATAATCATATAACACTTTGTTGTCCCAGGGGGATCACATTCTCATTAACAGGCAAGTCACAGCAGGAAAGGAATTCATTTTTCTTCCCCCCAGAGTCTTTATTTTTTTTATTTTTAAAATTTATTCAATTACAGATTGCATTCAGTATTATTTTGTAACTTCCAATCTGTACTTTTCAATCCCTTCACCTTTTTTATCCAGCCTCTTAACACTTGGTGGAACTTTACAATTCTTGTCTTAGTCTATCTTAATTACTTTTTTTTTTTTCTAATTTTGAGCCTGTGTATGTTTTTCCTCTCCCTCTTGTGAAATTTGAAAATTCTCTTGCTTACTTCCATGGCCACCCTCTACCTGTGCAAAGACGATCATTTCTTTCCTCTCTGGTGATTATCCTATCTGTGAGGAGCTTTCTTCTCAATGTGTAGGAATTTTAGAGTAGAGAAGACACAACTGGAAATGGGAATCTGTTTGTGATTCCTCTGTGTGGGGTCCCTGTGTTTCAGGTAGAAGAAAAATGTTAAGGAAAAATATATTGTCAAATTTTTCAACATGACCATGTGTGCACAAGGGTCATTGGAAAGCAGATGAAATGAATAAGACTTTGTGTTTCTATAGTACCTTTCCCAAGAACATTTATCAATATGCAAAGAGTATCCTCAAAACCCTCTCTTCAACTGGGGTAAAAGCATGAATTATGCCCACATTTCATGAGGGGAAAGCAGAATAAGGAGATGAGTGTCACCTCTGTCACCTGTAGATGACTACCTTCATGCAGAAGACTCACTGCCTCTCCTGCCTGAACTCCCCTGGCCTTTCTTTCGTTCTCACTGTGTATAAACCGATGTTCTTGGCTCCTTATTCGATCTTAAAATCAGTCAGAAAATTTGGACATTCTGTTCAGAAAACGTTATAAATTCATCAAGATTTGCTGGATCTGCAAAACTCTCCTGGCATTCTTAACAGAATAGCAGTCTTCTGTCCCCAGATGACTTCACAAAATGTAGGACTTGTGTGAGAAGATGATAGCAGCAGTTTCCCCATCACCCTGAAAGAAACACACCCTGTCACAGCTCCCTGCCTTTACCTGTGCCTCTCTTCCTAGCCTGCCTCTCTTCCTTGCCCTTGTCCACAGGCAGCATTCCTGTGCATCTTTGAAAACTCAGTTGGACTGTTATCATCTCCATCATCAAGGCTTTGCAAGCATTCTCCAGTTCTGCTTTCTTAACAGAGCCCCAATTTTGTTCAGGTCTCCACTCTTCTCTCGCTAGCATGTGTGCTGATGAAGGTGTTGACTTTAGCCAAGCTCTATGGAAGGCCTACTCAACATAAGCATAATCTCTGTCCCTTTGCTGGAGACTGGACAAAGAACTGTCCTGTGGTCTTGGCTAACCAGACAAGAGGAAGCATACACGGGGATTCTTGGTCCTCACTAATAAAATGGGGTTTGAAGAAGAGATGTACAGCTCACTTCCTCTGGACATGAGGTATGGCCTTGGGGTGACTGCCATCTTCTCACTTCCTGCCTGAGGGTGAAGCAAACAATGACAATGGCAGACACGAATAAAATCCAGGTCCCTCGAGGCTTTGTAGAGCCATTGAAACAACCAGACTTGAAATGGGCCCTACCTCTGGATGCCTTCTTATGTGAGATAATAAATGTCCTTATTAATTAAGTCAGAGCCTTACTTTCTGTTTCTTGCAGCTGAAAGCTTCCTCATTCACCCAGTGTTTTTCCTGAACTGTAAACCACATATTCAGCCAGAATTGGGTAGTCTTGCCTTGGATTGCTCTAGCACTGTGTATGTACCTCTGCCATCGCATCAGTACTGGGTTTTAACCATCCGCTTATACATCTATCCTCATTATGAAATCATCAACAATCGTATTTTATTTAATATTTGATTAACATTTTATTTGACATTTATTTTTAAGTTTAGTGTTAGGACTGACATATACCAACTAATTAGTAAATATTTGATGAGACAATGAGTGACTTTACTCAGAACATGTCAATGTGGGTGCCATAGGCAGCCTTAGGCATAAGAAGCTTAAATAATCACTTGAGATCCTAACCCTTTAGACCTTATTTCCGGGACTGATTGTGTTTTTTTCCATCATCTGTCCATTCTCCTATCCAACCTTTAGAAGCTCCAGTACCATGCTAACCCCTAGGAATTGAGAGATGCGCTGTCATTTTGCCCACCACCATGTAAATTGGGGGCCTTCTGGACCTTTGATACCACTTCAGTTGCACACTCTGGGTACATGTGGGAAGCTGGTGAACGGAACTACAGCTCTCAGTGTAGGCATATAGACTAGTACTGACAAGAAAATGCTTAGCTTTTTTTCATGGCAGGGTGGCTCGGATGGTTGGCGCTTCAACTCATACACCAAAAAGGTTGTGGGTTCAATTCCCGTCAGGGCACATAGCTAGGTCACAGGTTTGATCCCTGGTCAGGGCACGTACTGGAGGCAAATGATCAATGTTTCTCTCTCACATCAATATTTCTCTCCCTCAAAAAAATAAAAATCAATAAAAACATATCCTCGGGTGAGGATTAAAAAAAGAAGAAACAAAAAAAGAAAGAAAATGTGCTTAGCTTTCTTCCCAGGAAAAAATTACAGAGGGTGCTGCTTCCCATCTGAGCTCTGTGGACCTGACTCTCCCTGGGCCTAATTACACAAATGATCGAGCAGATCTATTGAACCATCTTTCTGGACTGTTGTGGGCGTTTAGAAAAGAGAGTATGCAAATCCTAAAGGAGAGGGAAAAAATTTCTAGGCATTTAGTAATTTCTGAGCATCCCTATTAGACTCCTTGTTTCTTTCTTCTAGTCCAGAAAATTACAAGCTACATGCCACAGGGGAGTTGGCAGGTAAATGTCAGACTCTAGATTTAGCCAAGACCTTCAAAGATTAAGGAAGTCTTCTCCCTGACACCAGGGCATATTATATTTAAATGTTCAGAGCTCAAACAAAAACTTTGTAGGTAGACTGTGAGCTTCTTCCTCTAAACAGCTTTGCAATTCTCAATGGTCTCCAAGAGTTACAACCTTCTAGAGAAATATTTTTTATGTCCAAACAAAATGAATGAAGTTGTGGCTAGTGTAACTTAGAGAAATTTATAATCGCCCTAGCATTTTGAAAAATGGGAAGGAGTTCTTGCCTTCCCTTGCTGACTTCTTATCATCTCTCACCCTAAACTTTGAATCCCAGACCAATTCTTGGTCATCTTGGTTTCTTATCACCAGTTCTGCCAACTGCTGCCCTATTTGTACTGTCTTCCCCAGAATATGTCAGAGTGCCTTCTTCCTTCACTATCCCATCATAGACAATTATGACCAACCAATTCTCTTCTGGTAGCTAACGCCTAATCTATTTCTTTTTTTTTTACCTGATTCCCCAACAACCCCAAAAACTCCCATCTTGGAGCACAGAGGGAACACTTTTTATTTTATACTAATTATTTTAGTTCCCTTTGTTTTGGTATTCTCATGCATTCCACAACTTGGGCCCTACCTTTCCTATATAAACATTCAGTGTATTTCCCTAAACAAATTTTTCTTTTCTGCCTCTTCTCTTGCTTCCAGATGCAGAAAAGACTGAAGTAAGGTTCAAACAAGCAATTTTTAGAATCTCTCTATTGCATTTGTATTCTCAAAGTTTAAATGTGACGTCCTTAGTATAGGGTGACACTCAATAATTTTTAACAATAACAACCAATTTTTTCATGAAGTAGCAATTAATCTAATGAACATTTTATGTGTTGTTTTACTTTTTCATCTTGTGATTCTTATAA